ACTTATCCATACTATCATATCATCTGTGAATAGTGACACTTTGACTTCTTCTTTTACAATTTGTATCTTCTTGATTTCCTTTAGTTGTCTTATTGCTTTGGCTTAGACTTGAAGTACTATATTGAAGAGATACAGAGAGAGTGGGTAACCTTGTCTTTTCTTCGATTTCTGTGCAATTGATTTCAGTTTCCTTTGTTTAGTTTGATGTTGGCTATCAACTTGCTGTATATTGCCATTACTATGTTTAAGTATGTGCTTTGTATCCCCCATCTCTCCAAGACTTCAAATATGAATGAGTGTTGGATTTTTTCAGATGCTTTTTCGTCATCTAAGGAGATGATCATGTGGTTTTTTCTTTCAGTTTGTTTATATGGTGGATTACATTGATGGATTACTGTATATTGAACCACCCCTGCCTGCCTGGTATGAAGCCTACTTGGTCATGGTGAATGATATATTTGATATGTTCTTGGATTCAGTTTGTGAGTATTTTATTGGGTATTTTTGTGTTGATGTTCATAAGAGAGATTGGTCTGAAGTTCTCTGTGTGTGCTTGCCTACTTTTAGTTTTGCTGTAGTACAGTTATTTATTTCCTGTGTTTTCCTGGGTGTAGTTAGCCTTCTTGGGTTGGGTTTTTCCTTCTAGCATCTTCTGTAAGGCCGGATTTGTGGATAGATACTGTTTAAATTTGCTTTTGTCGCGGAATATCTTGTTTTCTCCATCTATGATGATAGAGAGTTTTGCTAGGTATAGTAGTCTGGGCTGACATCTGTGTTCTCATAGGATTTGCATGATATCTGCCCAGGCCCTTGTGGCTTTCATAGTCTCTGTTGAGAATTCAGGTATGATTCTGATGGGTTTGCCATTATATGTTACTTGGCCTTTTCCCCTTGCAGCTTTTAATATTTTTCTTTGTTATGTATATTTAGTGTTTTGATTATTATGTGGCAGGAGGATTTTCTTTTCTGGTCTAATCTGTTAGGTATGCTGTAGACCTCTTGTATGCTTATAGATATCGCTTTCTTTAAATTTAGGAAATTTTCTTCTATGATTTTGCTGAAAATATTTTCTGGGTATTGTGGATGGGAATCTTCTTTTTCCTCTATTCCTATTATTCTTAAATTTTGTCTTTTTATGGTGTCCTTGATTTCTTAGATGTTGTGTGTCAGAAATTTTTTTGATTAAAATTTCTTTGATAGATGCATTAATTTCTTATATACCTGAGATTCTTTCCTTAATCTCTTATAGTCTGTTGGAGATGCTTACCTCTGTAGTTCCTGTTTTCTTCCCTAAGTTCTCCCTGTTAGTTCACAAGTTGATGCATTAGCCTACTCCCAGGTTGCTTAGGTACCTGTGATATCATCATTGGTCACTGCCCACAGGGGCCCTGGATAAAAGGACACCTCCTCTTCTCTCTCTTGCTCTCTCTCTCTCCTGCTCTCTCCCCTTTCTCTGTCAGGGATCCCCCTTCTCTCCCCCTACCATGTCTTTCTGTCTCCATCTCCATCCAATAAGCCTCTTTCATATAATATCTGTTTTGTGCATCATTTCAAAAAAAATAATAACACTGCCTATCCAGGATTTCTTCAGTTTGTGCTTTCTTTAATGTTTCCATTTCTATCTTCAGATCTTGAACTGTTTTGTTGATTTCCTTATCCTGTTTGTCTGTATTTTTCTGCCTTTCATTCAATTCTTTCACCTGTTTGTTTGAACTTTCTTCTGTTTCTTTCAGTGCTTTATTTCCTCTCTAAAGGTCACAATCTGTTTTACTGTACCTTCCTGTATTTATGGATTTTGTTTCCTCCATTATTATCTTCTAAGCATAGACTTAAGGTCATTTTCTTGCATTTCAGTTGTATTAGGGTATCCAGGGATGCTTGCCTTTGGAAAAATGGGTTCTGGAGATGTCATAATGCTTTGGCTTTTGTTGATTGTGTTTTTAAGCCTGCATTTACCTATCTTGTTGTCTCTAGCATTGGCTGCATTAGTTTCTGGTGCCTGCTGGTGTGTGTGTGTGTGTGTGTGTGTGTGTGTATGTGTGTGTGTGTGTGTGTGAGAGAGAGAGAGAGAGAGAGAGAGAGAGAGAGAAAGAGAGAGAGAGAGAGAGAAAAGCCCTGGGCAGGAAGCTGGATATTCCTGCAGGGGCCCTCCTTAGATTGGTGGGTATGGTCTCCTAATGGGGGTGGTTTGCTGAGGCTCTTCTCAGCTGTATGATCATGTGGACTAACCAGGCTCCTCAGGAGTCAGGGGCTCTCCTCTCACCAGGGGAAGTCCCAGAGACAGATGTTCCACCACTGGCTTTCTTGTATTGAGATTAATGAGCTGCAACTGCCCAGACAATGTGCCCAGACACTGTGTTTGCTTTGTGAAGCCATCTTGAAGAACCAGCGAGCCCAGAGGTTTGGTTGGTCTCCCTAGGGAGACAGGTTGAGCTTTGGAGCAGCATCTGGGGCTATTCCTCTGGCTCCAGGCATCAGGAGGCCTGAAGTTGCTGCTTTGTGCCCCAGTACCCAGAAGGAATCACTGGCCCTTGAGCACAGCATGCAGGCTTGTGGTTAGATACTGGAGACCCTGAGCCTTTTGGAACCCAGGAACTTCTCTGGAGATTAGCTGGATGACTTAAGGTTGGAACCAATGTTTCCCTCACTGGGGTGTTTCCTCTCAGCTGGGACACACAGTCTCTGGCGTTTTGGGTTCCACAGATTGGTACAGATTGGTTTGTTGGTTGCTGTGCAATCAGTGCTGCCCTGCTGATCAGAAATTGGCACCACCATCTTGGGTCTTTTCATTTTTTTGAGTTTTGTATATTTTGGATATCATTCCTTTGTCATATGTAGGGTTATTAAAGATCACTTTCAAACCTGTGGGCTGCCATTTTTTTTTTTATTGACAGTGTTCTTTGCCTTATAGAAGCTTTTCAGTTCTTAAAAAATTATTTATTTTTAATTTATTTTACTGTTTTTTTCCCCTTTATTCTCCTACCTTACTCCTCAAAAAGGGGGGGCATTTCCTACCGACCCACCCAATCACATCAATTCATACCAGGAATAAGTACATCCTCTTCCCGTCTGGCCTGGTGAGGCAGCTCCATCAGGGGGAAGTGACCAAAAATCAGCCAGTGGAGTCCATGTCAGAAACAACCCCCAATCCCCTTACTAGCAAAATCCATATGAAGCTGGAGCTGCCCATAGGCTACATCTATGTAGGAGGCCTGGGTCTAGTCCTTGCATGGACCTTGGTTGGTCCTTTAGTCTCTGCAATTCCCTCTGGGCTCTGGTTAGTTGGTTATGTTGGTTTTCTTGTGGAGTTCCTATCCCCTCCAGATCCTTCTATCCTTGGGCCTGATAGTAGAGCTTAGGGACTAGGAAGCTGCTCACTTCTGCTGGCTGGGTGTTCCTGAGGACCTGCAGGCAGGGATATTCTTCTCCTGGCTGAGTACCAGGTGGGCAGGAGAAAGGCTGGGTAGGATCTAACCTGGCTGTTCCTGGGGACCCCGGCCTGATGATCCTGTGGCTAGCAGGCCTCGTCTAGAGGGAAGGTTATGGACTGGGACTTAGGGGGCCAGGGTGCAGCTCACCTCTGTTGGCTGTGTCCCCTAGCAAGCAGGAGAAAGTCTTGGTGGGCTTTAACATGGCTGTTCTCTGGGACCTGCAGGGCTGGATGATCCTGGGGCCTTCAGGCATCTTCCAGAGTGAGTGTGCTTTCTTAATCCATGTGGGATCAGATCTTATTACTATGTGGTTGCTGGGAATTGAACTCTGAACATGTGGAAGAACAACCAGTGCTCTTACCTGCTGTGTCATCTCTCTAGCCCCACTCAGCTTTTTTTTTATTCACTTTACACATGGATCACAGCCCCTTCCCTTCTCTACTACCAGTCCCTCCTTCCCATCCTCTTTTACCATTTCTCCCTTCTCTTCTTCTCAGGGAAGGGAGGCCCCCTAACCTGCTTTCCTACCCTGCCACTTCATTTTGCATTAGAACTAAGCTTATTCTTTTCCACTGAGGCCAGACATGGCTGCCCACTAGGGGAACATGGTCCAATATCAGGCAACTACGCCAATGTGATATATGTAGAGAGGAAATTATTTTTAATTGTCAAAAAAAAAAAAGAAATTATGTTATTTGCAGTAATCTGCATCTAACTCCATCCTGGTGAGATGGGTCAGCAGATAAGAACACTTGCTGTTCTTGCAGAGTCCCTGGGCTAAATTCCTGGCACCCTCAAGGTTTTCAATCTTCCTTCTGATGTCCCCTTTTGCCCTGCGTGGGCACTGCACACGTGTGTTGCCAATGAAAACATATAGAAGAAACACACACACACACACACACAATAAAACATTAAATTTATGTATGAGGTAATCATTTTATTCTAATAAATTCACCTTAGAGAATTAGTCATCCTGATATGTTTTTTTTTTTCTCATATGTGGTCCTAGATTGTATATATGAAAGCCTGTATTTCATCTCATGAAATAGCAGGAAGAACTCTGTCCTCAAATAATGATGATTAAGGGCTGAGGTAGGAGCTTCAAAATGGGAGAAACTGTGGTAACTGAGTGTGTTCAGTTTACAGTATAAACTCTGGAATATGTACTATGTTCATTAACTAGTAAAATGAAAATAAAAGTCAGAATAATTTTATTACACCTATAGATTTTGATGAATTGCTTTACTATTAAATAAATATTATTAGAATATTATAACATATGATATATTTATATACATATATTACTTAATAATATGAAAGTTATAGCAAAACAAAAAGGCCTTTATATATACACTATGGATTAAAGAACTTGTCTTCCAATATTTATAAATAGTAGAGAAAATATGTCGGTTCACTTCTATAAACACAAAAATCTGGATATTCATCTACATATCTATGTCTCTATACAGTCATATAATGCTTTAAATTTCATATATACATCTCTATTAATGTTTATATTTATCCTTATGCATGCTAAAAAGCAATGTGTTACAAAGATCTGGCCTGCTCTTACATTGCATAGCCATAATATTGAGAAATTTCCACCTCTCTTTCCCTCTGAAGGAAAAGCTGTAGTTTCTCAGAGGAGGTGTACTTGGCAAAATTCTCTCGCTCTAGCTGAGCCCTTCTCTTCATGGCCTCCCTCTCTGGCCTCTGCTCTTTTGTGATGGGATGTGAGATAACTGTCCCTGTAATGTCAACTTTCCTCCATGGAATTGGTTGGTGGCTAAAGTCCTGCAACAGATACTGGGTTTGAGGTTTGGGAGGTGATAGCACCTTGTTTCTGGCAGAAACAAGCTCCCTCTGGAGTGAAGTATGAGATGATGCTCTGTAGGGTGCAGGCCTTGAGGCAGCTGACTGAGGCACAGTGCTAGACTGGATCGGGTTGGTTACATTAGACTGTGTGCCACTGGTGGAACTTGGCAGAGCTGCCTTGGCAGAGGCCATCAAAGATGTGCTGGCAGGAGGTGGTTGGCATGGCCCGAGTGTGGTAGGCTGAGCCCTGTGAGAATGAGGCTGTGCAGAGTAAACTGTAGTGGGCCTGTGTGAAGCCAGGGAGAGAGGCTTTCTAGAAATAGGTCTGGCCTGAGGCTTGTCCAGGGTTGGGAACGGCAGAGGTACTAACTTGACCTTCCCAGGTGAGGGCAGCTCATGTTGGGATGAAGTTGGAAATCCCTTGTGAGCACTTCTCTCTGCTCTCTGAGCCTTGCCTAGATTTTTTTCAGGGCCCTGGCCCTCATGTGGCCTGTCCAGAAGTGCTGTGGTGAGTGGGCCTGGCCTTGGATCTTTGTGGCTGCTGGAGATTCCCAGAGGCCGGGAGGAGCATGTGCCAGTTTTCCTCTCATTCTTCTTCCCCAGTGGATGAAAGACCTGCACGGACTCCAGCATGTGCATGCCGAGGTGGGTTCGGGGCCTTTTAAAGCTGTTGTGGCTGAGCTCAGGTGGATTCCTCTTCCTCTTGGTCTTGGGCATGGTGGATTCCTCTTCTGTCTTGACTCTGTTCCTTGACTGCTTAGGCTCTTCTGTCTTCTTGGAGCTGTTTTCCCTGCTCCACTTGGTTATATCTTGCTCCTGTCCTCTGCCTCTCCTGGGCCTGGATGCTGCTCTCTCAGCTTTGCCCTCCATGTTATTGGCCATGTTGTCAATAGCTCTTTCACTGGACACAGTACTGCCCACAGACTCCTCTCCCTCCACAAAGTCCCAGCGTTGGATTTTGGCTTGAGGAGCTCCATCAAGCAGCTCGGAGGCTTCATGGTCTTTCTTCCTTGCCTTGTCTGATGGTTCACTAACAATTCCTGAGATGTCCTGGGCCTGATCCCTCCTGATAACTGTGGAGATTTTGGATTTGGTAGCTGTGGGATCTTGGAATTGTTCTAGGTCGGTGAGGGAGTTGAACAGTTGTGGAAGGTGAATGCCTGTAACCAGGGTAGTGATGTCTGCAAAGTCGATGGTGGACATCTTCAAACTGTCCATTGTCTGTTGCTCTTCCAGAACAAAGCTGCTGCCCCCTATGCTGGCATTGTCAGAAGCAGGCTTCTTCCTTAAGCTCCCAGCATCAGAGCAGTGCAGAGCCTGCTGCATGTCAGGGTGTTCTAAAGGGAGCAGTGCTGGGTCTTGGTTAACTTTTGTTCTCTTACAGGCATCCAGAGGCATTGAAAGCTCAGCTTCAGTGTCCTCCAAGTTTTTATTCTCTGTTTGTTCCAAGATTGGAACTGGAGGCAAGGCCAGGAAATATGAAGGGCTGTGGATGGGGGCTGTTAAGGACCTGTCCCCATTGACAGGAGATGTTCTCATTTGGGGAATCAGCATGCAGGTGTTGGACAGTTCTGGACTCTGCAGCAGAGAGAGTGTCTGGTCTGAAGGTAACAATCCCAGGGTTGTCTCCATTTCTACTCCTGAAAAAGAGTCAAGGAAGAAGTCAATGTCTGGTATGTGAGATGCCTGCTTCCCCTTTCATTCACTCAGGTGCTGTGTGCAGCTGTGTGGAAGGCATTCCTATTAGGTCTGCTTTAACAATGGGGACAGCACCTCTGTTCACAGACAGGTGGTGACTGCTCCCATGCTGGTGACCATGCCATGTCATGTTTCCTCATGCTTTTGTGTTCCTTTGTGTTTGTGTTGTGTGTGCATACCCATCACCGGTAGGTTGCAGAATTCCCTTGATGTGTGCTTCTCACTTTCCTTGCCCCTTTTCTTTGATACAGTGACACTCAATTCCTTGGAACTTTGCTATTAGGCATGTTACCTGACTGCCAACTTCTTTTATGTCATTACTCAGATGCCCCCAGAAGCCTGTCCTTTTATGTGGGTTTTGGTGTTCAAACCCGGTTAGGCACTGCTGAGAGGCAAGCTTTTGAAAAACTGAGGCTTTCCTCCAGACCTGTGTTTCACAGACTCCTTTTAAGTGATATGAAAATTGATTTATGAAGTTGTAATATCTGGGCTTGGGTGTGACACTATTAGAGAATATGTCTTAATTATCTTGGTCTTGGAACACCCGATGTACCCCAGCAAAAGAAAAAAGCAGCAGCAGCTTTGGCCAATGTAGCTATGGTACATGGGCTGCATCTAATTCGATCTCTCCAATTTTAGGTGTAAGAGAATGCCATGAAATGTGCTTGGAATCTGTGTGGAATACTTCTTTCGGGGCACATTTGAGCTGCACTGCTCTGGAAGAGGATTTCAACTCATAGAAAATCTATTTGTTATCGAAAACAAAAAGTCCTTGGTATCTTCTAAAGCCCCGAGCCATATATGAGAAAGGAGATGATTGTAGTTAGGTTAGTGCGTGGGATTGCTTAGCTTGGTAATGGCATGAGCTCCATGGGCATCTCTTAATGTGGGATGGATACCACATGCTATGGCTGTGCATTCTCTCTCATTATAGAGTCTGATGATGGTGATGGAAACCAGAGCTGGACTAACCTGTAAGGACTCATGTGCTCCCTCTTTGTGGCATGTACTACTGAAATGTACAGCTGAGTTTCCATGGAGTGCTAATCCCACTCCTTCCCTTCCTGGCTCTTTACTCACCTTGAAGACTTGTGTCTGGCAGGGTTTGAGCAGATGCAGAATAGGAGAAGGCAGAGGTGAAGAGTGGTATTTGGACATTCATTTGCTGAATCTCCTTTAGCACCATCTCAGTGTCTGGTTGCAGGGCAAAGGCCTGACTTTCAGGGTAGGACACAGAACAGCAGGTCTGCAGGCCCTGCTCGAGTTCTCCAGGTGTCAGAGGGTCCAGGCAGCTATGGTTGTAGACCTGGCTGCCCTCCTGATAGGAAGGCACCATGCCATATCCTTGAATTGTCATCTGTGGTAGTATGGCATGGACAAAACTGGCAGACAGTGTCGGACAGAAAGGGATTATGGCATTGGAATCTAAAATTTCCTCATGCCCAGCTGTCACAGACAGTGAAGATAGTGTGGTGTCTTGGTCAGTGATGGTCACAGTGAAGTCCTGGAGTGCAGCTGCCCTCCTATCTTTGCTTCCTGTGAGATCCCATGTGAAAGCACCTGGATAGGAGAGTGCTGAGGTAGAGATCTGGCTCTGGTCACTCAGCACTGTCAGCATGGTTGTGCCAGCATGTTGGTAAAGGCAGGCACTGCTCATGATTGGCTGGAGAGAAGTGTTGGAGACTGATGGCAGGAGCCCTGCTGAACTACAAGCTGGGGTGGAGACCCTGGGGAAGTTGCCCTCCCTTCCTGCCGAGGGTCTGGAGTTGCTCAGCACAGGCAGAGATGGCTGAAGAGCGCTTTCAGTCCCAAAGAAAGGTATGGTTTGGAAATTTTCTGTAGGAAGCAAGAGAACAGTGGGAAAATGATGAGACTGATGTTTTCTATCTTCCTGTGGGGTGTATAGTGCTATTTCCAGTTTGCTCTGTCTGGGAGACTCTAAGACTGAAGTTCCCTCAACATCTCAATGATGTGTTCAGATGGATTTTTTTTTTTTTTTGTTACTGTATGGGATGACACGACACTCATTTGACACGCTTCTTCTTGGGTGGGCTTGGGATTCCTAGGTGATTTAGTTAAGCCTTTGCTCCAATCTAGATACCGTCCTTCTTTGCCCTGATTTGCCTTGCTCTTACACCTGCTGTGATATTTCATCATAACTGTGTACTGGAAGAGAAATGTTTAGAGGTGTGAGAGGCTTAGACAGCTACTCATGCCTCTGAATTTGCCATGCAGTGTGCAGATCTTACTCTATGTAAAAAGACAGAGTCTCTCAACTTAGATACCACTGGCCTTCAAATCCAGAATGCTGTTATCATAGGTATCTGCTAGCACCACTAGGCTTGTCTTTACTGTTTTTGTTCATTAAAAGTGATGTATTAGTGATTTCATATGAGAATACTGTGTTTACCTAACTATCTGTTCCCCATTCTATCTCCTCCTGCAACCTTCCCACTGCTTTTATTATTCATGATCTCTTATCATTTAAGTGGAACTCTTAAACACGTGTGTTGGTACAATGTTCTTGTGAAATGTATACAATTTACTCCTGTTCATTCAAATGCTGATTTCTCTATCCTACTAGCTGGTTTCAATTTGGACATTGCATTGTGATGTTTCAAGTTTGTGTAAACATGCTACCATTTGTTCTCTGTATTGCCAATAAAAACACGCAGCCACTGCTGAGCAATGGAGAGAAATAGGATGGCACATACTGGTCTGGAGGGGAGGAGAAAGAAGGAGTGGGAGGAGAGATCCAAGAGGAGAGGACCAGGAAACATCAGGAGAAATGAACCGGACCTAATATATGACTCAAAAGCAAGTATAATGTGGGAAATCTGAATCAGAGGAAGCTATATGGGCTTGGAGGTTTAGGATGCAGTAATTATTGCCCAGCATTGTGCTTTAGGTTAATTAAATAAATCCTAGTCTCTGTGTGGTGATTTGGGTATACAGCTGGTTTAATTGCTGTTTACAAGATAAATCAGTATTAAATATTAATAATCATCAATAAATGGTATACTAATGTCAGGCAGAATTTACAGTTATATAGTGAGAACTTATATAGAAAATAAAACTATAGAGCAGTTTCTTAGTTCTGTTTCTTAAAAACAGAGCAAGGGCAGTTCCTAAACTAGGAGACCCCTGCAGGGTAGCAAGACCTCCAGCAGGCTGAAGAAAAACAAAAAATGATACATACAAATGCCAGAGAGGCAGTTCCTTTAGGTAGATAAAAAAGTGGCTCTTTAACAAGCAAGTGAAAGACCTGTGTGAAAAAAACTTCAAGTCTCTAAAGAAAGAAATTGAAGGTATCAGAAGATGGAAAGATCTTCCATGCTCATGGATCAGTAGGATTAACCTAGTAAAAATGTCCATCCTGCCAAAAGCAATCTACAGATTCAATGCAATTCCCATCAAAATACCAACACAATTCTTTACAGAACTTGAAAGAACAATTCTCAACTTCATATGGTAAAACAAAAAACTCAGAATTGCCAAAAAGATCCTGTACAATAACAGATCGTCTGGAGGTATCTCCATCCCTGATCTCAAGCTGTACTATAGAGCAATAGTAATAAAAACTTCATAGTACTGGCATAGAAACAGAATGGTGGATCAATGGAATCGAATAGAAGACCCAGAAATAAACCCATACACCTACGGATACTTGATTTTTGACAAAGAAGCGAAAACCATACAATGGAAAAAAAAATAGCATCTTCAACAAGTGGTGCTGCTCTACATGTAGAAAAATTCAAATAGATACATATTTATCACTCTGTGCAAAACTAAAGTCCAAGTGGATCAAAGACCTCAACATAAAACCAGACACACTAAATCTGTTAGAAGAAAAAGTGGGGAAGAGCCTTGAACTCATTGGCACAGAAGACAACTTCCTGAACAGAACACCAACAGCACAGGCTCTCAGATCAACCGTGAATAAATGGGATCTCATGAAACTGAAAAGCTTCTATAAAGCAAAGGACACTGTCATCAGAACAAAACGACAGCCTATAGACTGGGAAAGGATCTTCACCAACCCTATATCTGATAGAGGGCTAATATCCAGAATATATAAAGAACTCAAGAAGTTAAATAGCAACAAATGAAGTTATCCAATTAAACAATGGGGTACAGAGATAAACAGAGAATTCTCTCTAGAGGAATATTGAATAAGCAAGCTTCTCAAAGCCAGGCTTTCCAAAGACAGGAAGCTAAATACCTAGGAGAAAGGGTTCTTGCTGGTCTGAGAAGCAAACATTTGTGGACTCAATAACTTACCAGAGTGAGGAAGGGGTCGGGATCTAGTGAGGGAGGCAGAAAAAAAATCTCTCCCTGGAAGCAAGAGCCAGAGACAGACTGAGAAGCCTCAAGCATCTAAACTGATCTAGAAGGGAAGCTGGGTCTAAGAAAGTAAAGTCCTTAGGAAGAGATTTAGAGATTAAAGATTATTTTCAATGCTGAAAATGGAGGAAGACACAATGACAAAGTGCTTCTGGATACCATTTGAGTTTGTTTCTCTTAACATACAAATGATTTTTTTCAGTGACAATTTCAGTTTTATATATCCTCTTTGGGAGAGATGAAGATAAGAGAGACTTGGAGAATGAAGAGACTGAGAAAATTGATGCTAAATTAAAGGCCATAGAACAGAGGTTGGAGATTCTTTGAATAACAATAGAGAGCCTTCAGAGAAATCCAATCTGCAACTTACAACAACACAAAAAGAGATAGTTCCAGGTGAGAAAAATCCACAAAGATTTGAAGATATTGTGAGATGACAGCCCGTTGAGAGGCTGGAGAGACACTCTTCAGCTATAGGCTAACTTGGTCACACTGGATATTGAATGTGTACTGTAAAGGTTCAATTACTAGCTGAAGGTCCATGTGCTACAGTAGAAATGCAGATCCCTAGTGTCTAGTGTTGTCTTGGAACAGGATCATACAGTGGCTGGTGTGCTCCATTTTGGAGAACTGAGATATATTCACCATGCCATAAATTCATATTCAGAATTCCCGTGGGCTTTTGCCTTAAATTCTGGAGAGCATGATCCTAAGGTTCCACATTTGTTAGAGATGGTGAATGTTTTGGAGATGGGCTGATGGTGCTTCAGCAAGTATAACCATTGGAATACAACAATATTTTAGACATTGTGACATGACACCTGTTTTAGCTATAACTCAAAATCCTATAGGTCAAGCAGTTATGAAAATATCTAACAGTAATTTTAAAAAGATGGTGATAAAACAGAAGGGGAATATAATAACTCCCCCAAATAGATTAAATAATGATTTATCAATTTTAAAATGTTTAAATGAGATAAGTAGCACACCTGCTAAGATACAGTGGCATTTAGAAAGGACTGCTGAATTAGAGCAGCATATAAAGGTCCTAATTCCAAAGTGGAGAGCGGGGAATGTGCCACGCTGGTGAAGGGGTTTTGCGTATGTTCATATAGGAGAAGAGAAATTATGGGTTTCCTCAAAACTAATAAAAATCAGGAATGACAGAGAAGACCACCCGAAAATCTTAGCCACAGACAAGAAAAGAAATCAAGAAGACTAAACAGAAGAGGTAACATAAATTGCTGATCCCTTCACATGGGAACAACTCTGAAACTGACTGAAACATAAAAATGTCTCTAGTCAGAACTTCAACAATGTGTGGCTAATATCCTCAAATTTTATTATGCCATTTTTTAAAATGACATAGATAAAATTGGTTTACAGTTTGGTTTACTACTCAGACTGGCTTATGAAAAAAAAATGCCTTTCTTCTGCTCATACTAAAAACAGAAAACCATCCTTAATTGATCTGGGAATCCTGCACGTCTCATACATTTACGATTTTAGGACGTATAATGCTTGTGAGAAAGCATATGTTTTTAGAACAAATGAATGCCAACCGGGGATGGTAGATCAAACCTGACAGGATTCATTCTTCCAGCATGCTGAGACGTTGACACATCTGTTCCAAAATCTTCCAGTTCCAGCATTCTGCTTGTTCCAGGCTCAAGTTCTTCAACTGCTGTTTCTCATGAAAGCCTGCTTCTAAGAGATCTTTGAAGAAAGCTACTCAACTGGTCCAGCATTTTAGACTGTTCCAAACAGGACTGAAATTTCTCAACATTTATTTTCTACCCTCCTATCTTTATACTTTGATTTTTTTTCTCAGCCCAGTTCCTGTAGGCCTGTCTTTCATGTAACAGCCACAGTAGTTCTTTCAAATAACTGCCTTTTTGGTCTAGCCTAGATTCTCTTATATCTAAGATAGATTGAGTACTCTAGAAAATGGCAGTCACTCATTTTTTTTTTTAAATCTTGTTTGTGTCAAGACAGAGCCAGTGTAGCCCTCAGTAGATTTGATCTGATATTCCTGTCTTTAACTGCTACATGCTGTGATTACAGGTTTGCCAACACACCTGGCGTCAATGATACATTAGAACAGCACTGAATTTGAAATAGTAATGGGGAAGCAGTAGCGGGGGGAGACCACCACAGTCATGGTATTTCGAAGTACTAGACCTCTTTTTATTTCTTTTGAATATCACACCCTGAAGAAGGGTCTGATTTCTGCCCTGTTTACTTGCCTCTTAAGATGCAATAGTACAATCTCACTGAGGTTGATAAAGTTACACTTGAGCGAAAACTGTCTGTCCAAAGTCACCTTATTAAGAACCCAAGCAAAATGTGACACTCAGCTCCAGATAACTCTATCTTTAGTTTCCATATTATTTCATTGATTAAGCAGATATTGAAAAAATACTGAAAGATGTGACCACACAAACATTTTAAAGATTCTTTTTCTTACCTGACATGGTCCGGGTAGGGCTGGGGTGGAGTAACAGTAATCCACGTTACGGTGGAGCAGGATAAAATGTTGTCTTTTTCTGATCAGCTGACCAATACCGCCTGAGTGTCCAGTATCATGGAGCACTCAACTGGTCACTGGTCACATGTGACCTGTGTATCCTAATTTGTTTACAGGCATTACCATGGAAACCCCAAGATTCTACCAGGTGCTGGTAGGTTGCAAGGGAAAATGATGTCGTAAATCAGGCAGTAGCCAATGGGATGATCAGGTTCTGAGCTAAAAGACAGGATTGGTTGGAGAAGATGCTCAAAGACTAACAGCAGCCATGAAGGCTGAGGTGTGGGCTGGTTGAAAGGTGGTGATCTTGGCATAGCAGTCTCTCATACCATGACTTTGAGTTTAGGATTTGGTGGCATGGTTCTTACAAGGCTCCTTGATGAAGCTGTTTATAATGTGCTATGGTGTGTCATATCCCAACAGAATGTATCCCATCTGCACACAGTGTACATATGGAGACTAGCCTTGGGCAGGAAGGAGAGGGACATGTAGGTTGAGGCAACTCAGTTGAGAAACTGTTAACAGTTGATCTGACTTTTGAGCTGTCAGCCTCTGTCCATGACCTAAGGAAGAGAACAAAAGGTTCTTTTGTGACTGTTGAAGGGCAGGGCTGAGTGCATTGAAAGCACCTTATAGGGGTTGATGAACTCCAAGATTCTTCTCTTTAGGTTTTTCATTAAGGATTCCTTTAGGCTGTTGCTGGCCTAGGTTGGATTTACATCTCTCTTCTCTGTTTTCATCCCTCCTTTGTAGGCTTTGATTCATGAACCATCTTGGTTGTGCATGTTTACATTAGTGGGTGATATCACTGTGAACAACCAGAAGACATGGTCCTCTTTTCATCTTGCACATGCTTGTTAAATAGGTTCTGTCCTTATATGCAAACAGCAGAGCGAATGAACGGGAAGCTGGCTGCAAGTTTCTCTTTCACCCTTTTGTTGCTGTTCTCCTGCCCATACTCTTCTGGATGTTTTCTCTCCTTTTCTGTTGTTTTTCTGAGATTGGTTTGTGTCTGTAGCTCATGTTGTTTTGGAACTCACTATGAATTTCCCTCTGGCTTCAGAGACCTAGACATTAAGCCTCTGCCTCTCTTTTTATAGAATCATGGCTGTGAACCAATGAGTCTGGCTGCCTTGTCACTTTGTATCCAAATGAAAGAAATGTAGCAGTTACTATAGCTTCTTCCTCCTTGCAACAGCCTCTGTAGAATCTTGGGATTACAGCGTTCTCTGTCATGCTTGGGTCTCAGCTCAGGCCAACTAGAGAGTGAGTGGAATAGTTGCAGAAAGAAAGAAGGCATTTTGTGTTACATGTTGCTGGATTACATGAAAAAGCAACGTTACTTTGGTTTATTTGTGATGAAATGAGCAACCCTTTTCTGATCACAATGTATTTTTTCACAGAGAATATGTGTGGCACTTTGTCATTTTAATTTGTGTTGTATCTACCCATGCTGTCACTCACTGGTAGGTTCATAGACTATGGTGTTGGCATGGGACTAGCATGCATTCATACACATTTTTTATTCTATCTGCCACGCAAAACACTAACTAATATGACAACGTTCATTAGTCTATTACAAATGGCCCTAGAACCACTTAAGCTGTCTTCTAGAAATCATATATGGTATAAGAGTAAGAGCTTTCAACAGGAGCTTTCACAATGAACTAGTACTGTAGCATGGGTCTGCATGTCCACCTCAGTATGATTTTTAATAGTTCTATGCATTTGTCTGTAAATTTTATAATGTGATTGTTTGTAATAGCTTAGTATGACTCCATGTGTAAAGGGAGCACACTGTTTATCTGTTTTCTGTAGAGGTATATCTAGTTTTTGGCTATTATGACTAAAGCAAAAAAAAAAAACATAGTTGAGCAAGTATTCTTATTGCAGAATGAAGCATTCTTTGGGTATATGCCTAAGAGTGGTATATGTGGATCTGGAGGTAGATCAAGTTCAGCTTTCTGTGATTTCAATATGTGGAAGGATGCACTCACACTAGCAATGGAGGAATATTCCCCTTGTTCTACATCCTCACCAGCATGATCTGTCACTCATGTTATTGATCTTAGCCATTCTGACAGGTGGAAGATTGAATCTCAATATTGTGTTGATTTGCATTTCTCTGATAGTTAAGGATGTTGAACATTTAAGTGTTTCTTAGCCATTTGGGTTTCATCTATTGATAATTGTCTTCAGATCTGTATATCATTTGAAGTTGGATGATGTGGCCTTTCGAATTCTAGTTTCTTGAGTTCTTTATATATTTTGAAATTTAATTCTCTATTGGATGTGGAGTCAGTAAAATTCTTTTCCAATTCTGTAGACTGCAGGTTTGTACAGCTGAAGGTGTCCTTTGCCTTAGAGAAGCTTTTTAGTTTTATGAGGTGACATTAAAGAATTGTTGATGTTAATGAGCACACAGTCACGCAATAGGTGTTTTCAGTACATCATCTCCAGTGACAATGCAATAAATGATATTCCTCAGCTTTTCTTCTGTCAGTTACAATGTGTCATATCTGTTTTTAAGTTAAGGTCTGTGATCCACTTGGACTTATTTTGTGCATGGTAGAAGGTATGGATCTATTATGCATTCTTCTACATGCAGGTGTCCATTTTGACCAGCACCATTTGTTGATGATGGTGTCTCTCCCTGCCTAGTGTGTATATTCTTTATCAAAATCGGGTGTCTATATATGTGTGGATTTATGTCTGGCTCTTTAGTTTGATTCTATTGATCAACGTGCTTATTTTTATGCCAACGTCATGCAGAATTTATTACTCTAGCTCTATAGTACCAGTTGATATCAGATATGCTCAGACCTCCAGCATTTCTTTTATTGTTAAGGATTGTCTTACATATTCTGTGGTGTGTGTGTGTTTCCATATGAAGTTGAGAATTGTCATTCCAATATCTGTAACAAATGTTGAAATTTTCATGGAGATTGCCATGAATCTGTAGATTGTATGATGGCCCTTTTTACTGTGTTAATTGTTTTGGTTCATGAGCACGGAGATCTTTCCATCTTCTGATATATTTTTCAGAAACTTTAAGTTTTAGTCATATAAGCCTTTCACTTGCTTGGTTAATATTACCCTAAGATATTTTATTTTATTTGAGGCTATTGTGAAAAGTGTTGTTTCCCTAATTTCTATCTCTGTTTATCAGTGGTATATGCGAGGTATACTGATTTTTCTTAGTTAACCCTTTTTCCAGCTCCTGTGCCAAAAGTCTTTTTTAGCTATAGGATTTCCTTGGTCACTTATAGATACTATCATGTCATCTTCAAATAATGATATATTGATATCTTCTTTTCCTAGTTGTATCTACTTGATCGCCTTTAGTTGTCATTTTGTTCTAGCTACAAGTTCAAGTTCTATATTGAATATGGAGTAGGAAACTCTGTCTTGTTCCAGAAATTATTGGAATTGCATTGAAGTTCTCTCTATTCAATTGGATGTTCGCTATAGGCTTGCCATAACCTACCTTTGTTATGTTGAGATATATACTATGTATTCCTAATTCTCTAGGGGAGATTTATTTTTATCAAGAAGAGGAGTTGGATTTTGTCAAAGGCCTTTTCTGCATCAAATGAGATGATCCTGTGGTTAAATTTTCTTTCATTTTGTTCATATGATGGATTAGATTTACTGGTTTTCATATATTGAAGCATCCCTGGAACTCTGGGGTGAAGCCTACTCAATGGTAATGGCTGATGTTTTGGTTGCATTTAAAATTTTCATTTTGCAAGTATTTTATTGCATATTTTAACACCCATGTTCATAAGAAAAATTAGTGTATAATTCTTTTTCTTTGCTGAGTTTTGATTTGTTTGGGTGTCTGGGTAACTCTGGCCTCATAAAATTATTTGGACAATGTCTCCTCTTTCTGCAATAATTTGAGGAGTTATTAGAATTAACTCTTCATTAATAATCTGGTTGAATTCTGTGCTAAAACTATCTGGCCCTTGGCAGTTTTGGTAGAGTTTTAATAAATAAATGAAAACATTTCATGAGTGATTGTAGGTTTATTCCATTTGTTTATGTACTCTTGATATATCTTAGGTAGAAAGAAAATGATCCATTTCTCTAAAATTTTACAATTTGGTGAAGGACAGGATTTTAAGTATGTTCTCATGATACTCTGGACTTCCTCAGTGTCTTTTTTATGTCCACTTTCCTCCCCTCACTGATTTTGTGAGTTTGAATATTTTCTCTCTGTGTTTTATTTAGTTTGCATAAGGGTTTGTCTATCTTGTTGATTTTCTCAAAGAACTTACTTTTGGATTCATTGAGTCTTGTTTTGTTTTCTTTGTTTTTTATTTCATGAATCTCAGCCCTGAACATGATTATTTCTTACAGTCTATCCCTCTTTGATGTAATCTGATTACTTCTTTTTGTTCTAGAGCTTTCAGGTTTGTTGTTATGTTGGTAGTAGAAGATCTCTCCAGTTTCTCTACATAGGTGCCCCACAAGTTTGGGAATGCTCCTTATTCATTTTCTTTGAGTCCTAGTAAGTCCTTAGTTAGTTAGTTTGTTTCTTTCTTCCTATTTTGATGTTTTTTTTTTTTTTTCATTCAGTAGGCTGTTGTTCAGGTTCAATGAGTTTTTAAGCTCTTTTGTTTCTGTTGTTGTTTATATCTAGCTTTAATCTGTGGTGGTCAGTATGCATGGAATTCAATGTTATTGTGTCTGTTGGATCTTGCTTTGAGTCAGAGTATGTGGTCAAGTTTGGAGAAAGTTCAATGAGGTACAGAGAAGAAGATACATACCTTTATGTTTGGGCGAAATGTTCTGTAAAAATATATCAGGTTTGTTTGTGCCACCATGTCTGCTTCCCTGTCAGAGTATCCTAGCCTCTTGTGTACCCAGCTGGACTAGAGAAAGGGGAGCTTAGTGGGGCCTGGGTGTGTGCAGTTCAGGATCTTGGTCACAGTTGAGTGCTGG